CATCTTTACATGTTAAGTCTAGCCTTTTGAGTTTGGAGTGTTTAAAAGATTTTGGGAAAACCAGAAAACTTTCTTGATAGATCAGTAATACTAGGTGAGGAACATTAAGCCTATTATAAAATCCATGTTAAGGTTGACATATTTGTTAGCTATAGCCTCTGGAAGAGAATTTATAACACATGAATAGGATGTTAAGTATATACTGTAGCCCAGGAATACAGTAGTCATTTTTCAGTGTGGATGGTGAATAACACTGTGTAGCTCCAGCTATGGATAAATCTACTCTGGGACAAATCACTTACCACTTCTGAGATGTTTTCTCTAACAGCCCCTACCCTGCCTACCCCACAGAGTTGTCTGCATGGTTAATGGGCACAGTATTTCATAACAGCATTTTGGAAGTGCAAAAATGGGATGTGACCTATTGGAGCAATCAATAAGTGGTCACATTAAAATAATTGAAACCTGGCAAGGTCTAGATCGACTGCAATTAAATGCTTAATTTAAAATAAAATTTTCAATTGGTGTGAAGACAGTTTTTCACTTCCTCTCATATTTGACAGAAAGTGGCTAAGCCCTTTCTGCCACAAACATAACAGAAGATGAAGTAGCCAAAGGTAGGCAAAGGTTGAGAATCCAGGTCACCATTTCAGAGTAGTTCTCAGTTTATTAATGGTTACTGCAGTGGCTTTTGTGAAGGGTGCTATTTCCAGGAGCCACTTGTGCTCAGATTGACCCTAAGATGAAACTAAAAGGAAAAACTCAGGGTTGTAAGTAACAAGGATGGCAAATATTGATGAACATTTTTTAAATTTTGTTTTTAACTCCTGTCACTCCATAAACAATGCAGAATACCAAAAAGGGGAAGATATTTTGTAAAGTGTAGAAGTTAGGTGTGTAGGCCTTGTTTAAGATGATAGTTGAATATGTATCCTCAAGCCCAACATACTAAAATAGGTCTACCTTTGGCTCAAAATATGCCTTAATTCCTCACTCCCTGTCTTTATGTAATGATATCATCCGAAAGCTTTAACTTTTATTAGAGATGTTAATTTCCTTTTGATTTTTGTTAAGTCAAATATAGATGTTAAAAGATAACTACTGAAAGAAAAGAAAAAGAATGTAGTAATCCCAACCTACAACTGGTAAGGATAAGGGAAATTACCAAAAAAAAAAGTGTTTATCTAAAATAATCCAGAAAAGGAATAGAAAATTCCAAAATTGCTCAACATTTGGTGGCAAAAATAAACCCAAATGTATTTGCAATCACATTAAGTGTAAATGGCTCAATTTACTAGCTACTGGATTTTCAGAAAAATTCACTTGTATTCTGATTACAAGAGAAACACTAAAAATAGCACAGGAAGATTAAAAACAAAAGGCTGAAAAATATATATCAGACAAGTATTAAAAATTTGAAGTTGCTATGACTGTACTATTATCAGATTAAGATACATCTAAAGCAAAAACAAAGATAGTTATGAAAGGATAATACAGGGAACAATTCAGTAGGAACATATAAAAAGTCTAAGCTAGTATGTCTCTAATCACAGCCTCAAAATACATAAAACAAAGATTCACAAATAGGTAAAGTTGACAGATCCACAATTATGGCAAGAGATTTTAATACATTTTTGTTATAATTGATGGAGCAAACTATGAACAAGGGATGTAGAAATACACAAATAATAAATTAATTTAATGACTACATCCTAGAAGCCTATACCCAACAATGAGTGAAGAACATTCTTCTTAAGGATATGTGAGCATTTTGAAAAATTGACCATGTAGCCAATCATATGACAAGATTCAACACAAATAGAAAAATCTATTTTGTTTAGACTGCTCTTTGGGTAGGTAGAAATCACTTCTACC